CCACCTGCGATGTAACTGATTTTGTTTGATTAACTGATGTGTTGTGTTGAAGCTGTGCCTACCCTACGAGCCCAATGAGCTGCCTGGAGCAGCTCCTTACCCGGCACAGGGACGAGATCTTCTCATCAGCATCTGCCATGGGGTGCTCGGTGAAGGTCACGTAGGGGATGTTGGTGGACCAGGGGTTCCACCTGTTGATGAAGGAGGCTCTGCTCTGCTTGTCCCACTGGATGCGGATACCGACACCTTCCCTCCTGACAGAGCAGAATGAACAGGGGAAAACCTGGCTTTGAGCAAGGTTAACTACAAATGTTCCGTCTGAAAAAGACCTACTTGGAACCAGAAGCTATCTTGAAATATAAATTATAGTAAGTTTTACTGAAGGAAAGAAATGCAATAATTCAGCCCCTGGACCGTGCAAAGGGACATTCTTATGAGCTGAGAGCAAGAAGGTGAAGCACCTGGGACACCCTGGCCATCCTTCACAGCCTGTGACAGCCCCTGTGTACAGGGGACCTGCCACTCACAGCTTTCTACACACTGAGGTGCTGTTACTACTACTTACTGCATTATGTAATGGTGAGCGTTTCTGCTCCCAAATCTACTCATCTTATCTTGAAAGTCCTTGAGCAACTTGCTGTTAGTGCAACTACTCACCACCCCAGCAAACCAGCAGCTACCCTGAGGACTCCTAGTAAAGCTTCAGGAATTGTTTGCAAAGTTAAGCAAACAAAAGCAAGAATTCTCAGACCATTCCAGTGGTCAGGCTGACAGCTCACTCTGTGCCCAATAACCTGTGCCTGCTTACTTGTTGAGAGATTTGGGTGGGAACACAAACTCCCCCACGGAGATGGTGTCCACAGCACTGAGGGCAATCCTGGTCACATGCTGGCACTGCAGGCTGATGAAGTTGTACTTGCACACCAGGAGGGACCAGTCTGTGATGAGGACAAGGCGCTCCTTCTCATTGTTCCAGTGATCGATTCTGGGGAGAGAACACCACTGAGCTTGTTTAAGTGCTTTTGACTCCTGGCTAGGAATACTGAAGAGCTTGGCAAAAAGCAGAATTGATGAGGAGAACAAATCTGAAGTCCTGGTGACGCTGTATTTTATGTCACTTTGCTTTGTATCAGCAGGGCCAGTGCAGGGCTGAGGCTCTGTGCCCTGCTGCACAGTTAAAGCAAACTGCAGGCATGAGTTCCCTGTGGGACTGGATTTCGTAAGGGGTTAACTGGGGAGTGTTGATATGGAGAAATAATGAAATAATGATGGCTGCAGCCAGCCTGGCCACTCCAGCCCTTGTGCGTGCGTTAATACCCCCCAGGTTAACCACAGAACAGCGCTGTGGGCTGCGCAGGGGCCGAGGCTGCCCTGGCTCTCCTCTCCCCGCCCGCAGCGTCCGTCCTGTCCCTCGGAACTCACTCTGTGAGCAGCCACACGCTCTGCACCTCCCCGTCCTCGGCGGGCAGCACGACCACCCGGATCTCGCTCACCGCCTGCTCGATGGTGCCGGGCTGCGGGGGGAAAAGGCAGAGGTCAGGGCGTGCGAGGGAGAAGGGAGCTCAGGGCTGCGGGGGAGAAGGCAGACAGAGATCAGAGCTACGGGCGGAGAAGGGAGAGGTCAGGGCTGCGGGGGAGAAGGCAGACAAGAGGACGGGGCGTGCGGGGGGAGAAAGCAGAGCTCAGGGTGTGCGGGGGAAAAGGCAAAGAGAGGATGGGGCGCGCGGGAGAGAAGGTACACAGAGCTCAGAGCTGCGGGGGCGAAGGCAGACAGAGATCAGAGCTACGGGCGGAGAAGGCAGGCAGAGCTCAGGGTGTGCGGGGGGAGAAGGCAGAGGACGGGGCGTGCGGGAGAGAAGGCACATAGAGCTCAGAGCTGCGGGGGAGAAGGTAGACAGAGGACGGGGCGTGCAGGGGAGAAGGCAGGCAGAGGTGGGCAGAAGGCAGACAGAAGCCAGGGCTGCGGAGGAGAAGGCAGACAGGTCAGGGCTGGGGGGAGAAGGCAGGCAGAGGCCCGGGAGCCGCCCCGCTCCCGGCGCACCCGGAACACGAAGTACTGTCGCAGGCGGCCGGCGCGGCCCGCGGTGCGCACGCTGAGCGGCCGCAGCGTCTGCCGGGCCGGCGGCACGGCCGGCTCGAAGGGCGGCCCGGCTCCCCCCGGCACCAGCGT